ACTTACGACCATTCCATTGATCACTCGCATTTTTGAGCACTCGAGTTCGATTTTCAAGTACAATATTTTTGAGTTTTTTTTTTCACTTATCTGCAAAAAGCAAACGCGACTTGTGAATAATTTAAAATAACTTTTCGACTTCACTCATTATGTATACGCTTATTATACTATTATTGTGTGTATAGCGCAATACACTAATACGTTAAAATATTGTACAAAATTTCCTTCGCATTAAATACGATAGTAATGTATGCGATGAGAACTCTGGGGAATTATATTTTATATATTACCCTGATGAGAATTAATTAAGCACATTTCACGTAGTCACTAAACCGTGCACGCCTCGAGTTATACATATTATAATATATTTTCTCCAAAAACGTGTCAATCATTTATTTATATCACTTTATTCCGACACCGGAAAATAATTTTCCATCTCTTCCCGTCGTCTTCTTTATTTTTCTTTTTCGTTGCGTGAGATATTCTCCTACGATTTGAATTAGTTTGACGTGAAATGAAATAATTTCATTCCTTTTACGAAAGTAGAAAATTTAATATTTTAAAGTAATATTCAAAATTCCTCTGATGGATTTGCGAGTCATAACAAGTGATGTATCATAATATATTATGTTAGCTGCTGCCTACATCAAGAACATATATTATAATAATATGAAAGTATATATATATATATACCAGAATATGAAACTACTAAAAACATCGCTTTTATACATTATATTCTGTTTAATACGTTTATATAAAACAACGTGCTATGTCCGATTTTATTATATTCACTGTGCTATCTATATATTCACTAATGATGACATTTTCCTTTCGAAGTTTGATATGCAATATCCATATCTATAATAGATGAAACAATCATTGTTTGTTATAACATAACGAAAAACATTTGAAATACCTATGCTTTCTATTTACCATTACCTAGTAATTACTCATTAGTCATTGACATTAAACGTACTACATACTTTAGAAGAAATTTATAAATAGAAGGGTTAAATTTTGGACGGCGCATTGTATAGGCAATTTATGGTGAGTTTTGTGTCCTAAATGCAAATCATCAAAATGTAAATACGTTTCATTTATATTTAGTTTTCATATGTGTTGACAATGATATCTCATAGACGTCGGTGTATGATCTCAAAGGTAACATCTACGGTGTTCATCTCTGATATTATGTCAATCAGATGATTTCAAAATTTTCGCAAACGACCAGCCACCAGCAGTAGGCCGGCATCGAGTATCTGTAATTTGTATTTAAACTTTAAAGTACCTAATATCAAGTATATTAAAGTGTATTCAAGTGTGTACAAGATATTAGATAATCGATACTTTATTGTGGCTTGTTATTTTGTCAAAAGTTTTTTTACGAGTGTTATAATATCAGCTATAATTGTCACTGTAGCAGTGTGCTGTTAAAATGGAAGGTTCGAAAAAACAGGTATGTGAATAGTTAATTAAATAAATACTCGTAATATTTATATCCAATAGTATAATTTTGTAGTTTATAATTATTTTATCTTCTTAGTTTATTAGATAGGTTAGTTATTTTACAATATTATACAGTCTGTATAATACAGATAACTAGGAAATTCATGCATTTACTGCCTATATCCACTATAGCTATTGAAAACATAGTACTTACTACTTAGCCTATAAGTAGGAATACAATATTAAATTGTATACCTACCTAATATAAATTATTATGTTTCCTACAGACAAATATATTCCAGTATGTACCACAGCTAGATTTTAGCCGATGCCTATTTTAATTATTGCACTTTTAGTGGATTATTGGTTATTTTAAAGAGGAGCACAAGTATTCAGTGATTCCCTCTGACTGGATATCAACTGCTACATTAAATGGTACTCCGGGACATTCCTGTAAATGGCCTTTAAAACAAAGGGTTACAACAATGGTGCTGATGAAAGGAGGTAAACCATCTGAGGACTGGAAGTGGGAAGTCATACCCTGTTAAAGTCATTGAACAATTTGGTACGATATTTATTTTTTATCTCATTTTTCTATTGGAAATTAAATGAAAGTTTAATAGTTTGATTAATAGTCTAAAATGTAAATAAAATTAATAAAGTACCTACATATAAAAATATATTTATTATAATACATAAATCATAATATATAGACTCATATGAACAAGCAGCAATGAAGGAAGTAGAAATATTTAGGTCTGAGTCAGAAAATGAAGAAACCTTAAGACGGGGCAAAAGACTGAAATTATCCAAAACGACTAAAACCCAATATGATACATCAGGTAATAATGGCGGGGACCTATAATGTCTATTGATCACAATATCATACAATATTTTTGATTTATAGGTAGTTATTCTTGCGAAGAAGTCACTCTTAGTGTGTACCGGAAACCTGCACTTACTAATGAGAAAAATAAAACTTCAGAAGTATACACAAGCAGCAATATTTTATCTAGTAAGTAGAATTTCTTTTTTTTTTCATATAGTTTCATTTATTTTAAGAATTTTAAAATAAGTGATTTCTATACCTATAATTGTATAGATATTTCATTTTATTGCTGCTTATATTTTTAATAAATTAGGTTTAACCGCAGAATCTACATCACATTTTGTCAACAATTGTGACCAAGGTAATATTATATAACACTAGTTAGTAGATGTCTACATTGTCTATATTTCATTCTTTTTTTTTTTAATATTTACATTATTTGTAATTTGTGCCATATAGGAGCTTATGCAATACAGTCAAACTTCAACGAAAATATTTTACATAATGAACAAGGTAATAACACCAATTATACTCGACTGATTGAATTATTCACAGTATTGACAATCTTTATTTTGTTTAACTATGAATTTATTCATAACTGTAACTTAACTTGTATTTGTATACTTAAAAGCTGCTTAGAATATTTATATTAATTTTTGTTTTGATATAATATTTGTTATTTGTTACATAATAATATATAGAAGATTATACAATTAGTCAAACTTAATCTTAAAAAAAAATTAAAATATTTTACATATCCATGGTAATAATACTTATACTTAACTAATTGAATTACTTACAATATTTTCTATATACATTACACTTATACATTTATTATTTTTTTTAACCATTCATTCAAAACTGTAACTGTTAAATCTTGGTGTATAACCTTCATGAATATTAATTTTTGTTTTAATATAATATTTTTATTATTTATTATTTGTTACATAATATATAGAACCGTATACAATGCAGTTAAACGGAAATGAAAATGTTTTATTGAGGAATGAAGGTAATAATAACATATTTAATAATTTAAGTATCCTATTTTGCTTTGTATGTTTTTTTTATAGTTTTTATCATTTATATATTTTATATCCAATGCTAGATACAAGTTCAAAGGACTCTACAGTTAATTGGACAACATTTTGATAGTAGTCTAAAAAACAGCCAAGGTAATATACTAATATCTATTAATATTATATTATACTTAAAAAAAATATAATTGTGTATAAAAAAAAAATATTAAATTATTTTTTTTACTTCTTTCAGATACAAGATCTGATGCATTGCATTCAATAGGGTATAATTTCGATTCAGATTTATCAAATTATCAAGGTAAACATTGAATTAAGCATACCTACCTATGACATTTTTATTTTTAATAATAATAAAACAATTTTTTCAGAACCTGGTAATCCTAGCAATAGTATGCCCACTTTCACAGAATTTATGAATTCAACAAATATGTTCTTGAATAGATTGGACAAAAAGTTAGATGTGCTTTTAGAACATATAACACATCCACCAAGCACACAATACTTGCCATTAGATGATTCGGTTTTAAATATGTTTCCATTAAAAGATATTGCAGCGATAAAAGATATGGAGGAGAACTTACAAAATGAAGAATATAAGCTCAAATTAGTAAGAATAGTAAAATTTAATTTAAGTTTTGTATTACATACAAATATTATGTTGATTTTTTAGACTCATTTTATACATTCAGTTGGTGGAACAAGTTTAAAAAACTTTATCAAAAGAGTACTTTCAAGACTATTTACAAATAAATTATCTTCTGTATGTTCTTGGACAGGATTTAAGAATAATTTTCGATTAGATAATCTTCAAATTATGAAGATAGTAAAACGTAATTATTTATTGTTTTCATATATTTAATGTATGTACCCACTTGCAATAAAATAATATTATTATAATTTCAGAAATCGCCTATGATAATTACCAAATGAACGACAGTAGCTTTGAGTGTCACCTGAAGGATTGGTTCGGCCATGGAAGCCAACGTTTGGCACGTGAAGAAATCATAAAGCAGTAAAATTTGAATTCACAGAAATATTTGTATAGTAATAATAAGTAAGCTTATAAACTATAATATATATTATGGCTAGGTATGGTTCTAGTGGTGTAACTTGTAGTAAATAATAAATTATTGAAGGATATTCTAAAAAATCATATTTCCTAATACATAACATAGAGGCTTTACTCTTTCCCCAATTGTATTCTGCACTGATATGGTTGTAACTTTGTACACATTATCTTGTATCCTATTATAAAATAATAACACACCCCAACCCAGGCAATTACCAAGTGTATCAGCCAGTATAGATTAAAATAATTAAAATAAATTAAATATGGATTCAAATAATTAATATTATAAAAAAAAAATGTATTTTTATGTCACTATTATATCAAACAAGTGCGTTTTCCTAAATTGAATACTTTTAAACCTTTTTTGAAATGTTAACAGTAACAATTAGAATTTCTTTTTTTGACTATCAAAGAGACATGTTAATAGGTATTTAAACAAGATATTTTTTTAGTATTATTTACCTGCCAAATTGTAAATAAATTTTTATATTTTTAGGTAAAAAAAATTAAAATATTACATTTAATGTCGAGGAGACATTATAACAGAACGGTTTCAAGTATTTATCATAAGGAAGGTTCCTCTATCAATTTACCACAGTCAATTTCAGCTCCGAATATGGCAGCTTTAGTGAAATTTGCCTGTACTGAAGAAACTCCATCATCAAATGAAACATTAAATGATAATAATTTTAATTTAGATCTACAACCAGGAAAGTTGGACATTTTTACTAATGATAATAATACTTTTAGTAATGAATATGTGACATATAATGTTCATGGTCTTATACATATACCTAATTTTGTTAAGATTCATGGTCCACTTGACAAGTTTAGTGCATTTAAATTTGAAAACTTTTTACAAATCATTAAAAAAAACTGTTCACAGTTCTAAATACCCTCTTCAAGACGTATACAACCGAATTCTTGAACAAAATATCTATTTAGAAACTAATATTAAATATCCGTTACTTAAAAAAGAAATTGATTTTAACTATTCAATTCACCAAGATATAACATTCACATTGTATGAACATGTTTTACTAAAAAACTTCAAAGTTACTTCTACTAAAGAACGTGATAAGTATTTTTTTTTTGTTTAATTGCTGTGCTATTGTTTCTATTGATAAAATAATTAAAAACTCTTCTGGTCAAATAGTTCTTGAGGTTACTAAATATGAAAATTTATCTCCTATGTTTAATTGGACATTTTCTGGTAAATACGGAAATTAAAATTCCAAAATGTTTAATTGAATTGTCAAATTTAAAATATAAGTGTTTGTTTTTCCATATATCAGAAAATCAAGCTGTAGCCTTAAATTTATTGCATACAGAATAATTACTTTAAATGTCATAATTCTGTTGAATATTGTATTAGTAATTTTTCATAATAAATATTTTATACTATATTATTTGTGTTAATGTTAAATCATATTTCATTCAGTATTATTATACATTTTTCAGAACATTTGATAATCAATATAGCTTTGAAATGATTGTATACAAAATAAAATGTATTTCATTTCTGTTAGGTATATATTTTGTAAATATTATGTATGTAACTTTTAAAAATAAATATTTTGTACTTTATGACCTGTGTTGAATCATTTAATTGTTATTTCCAATTTTTCAAAGCTTTTGAAAGCCCAACATAAAATTCTAAAACAGTTACATGGATGTTACACATTGGACATCTCATAGATAAAAAAAATGTGATATCCTTAGGTATGTCTTATGAGATGTTGATGGGATATTGCATTCAACATCTTTAAGTAGACTACTAAGATATGTTTAATGTGAGATGTTCTATAGATGTTCAGTTTTAACTTCTCGGATGTGATATCCTTCAAAGTGGCATTTGGCATCTCCAGAACATCACATAAATGTATGTGGGTAATAAAGAGAAACATCACATAAATGTATGTGGGTAATAAAGAGAAACATCACATATCGCAATAGAACATCTATTTTACTTCTCCGATACCAGATATTGCACACAGGGGGGGGGGCTTATATAATCCTGGAAATTCAAAATATGCGTGGACTGCATCATATTGTCACTTACCTTGGAAATCTGGAAAGTTTACTCCCAGACCGTATTTCTCCTGGTTTCTCTAGGCCATATTTTTTACTTAATGTGGTAAACAAAGTATACAGGTTTAAAATTTTCCAAATGAAAAAAAAAAAAAATCAATACAGATTACAATAATTAGAGCTGATATCTCATAACAGATCTTATTGTGGCCGTTTGTAGACTTCAGTAATCAGTATGTCACTATTTTAAAAATGCACTATTATGTTGCTAGTGCATTGGGTCGAGTTAAATGACAAAATAATTAAATTGCCAACAAATTATAAGCGATCACAATTGTCATGACCTTAAGATTGACATAATATTTTAGAGAACAATTTAATGATAATAACACTTCATATTAAAATAATATAATATATTAAAAAAATTTTATGTATTTACACCATTATTTTTATTATTATTTCATCTGTGAGACATACCATCTTCTTCGTCCGTCTCAATATACGACTCACACGTCTCGTATTCATCAGAAAAATCAAACATTTTCATCTTATCACCAAATGATAATAGGTCCGCGTGATTGCAATAAAATTGTATAAATGCTTCATTAACTAACCAATTGCACTTGTGTTTATATTCTTCGAAAAATATTTGAAACCACCATCTATCGGGAATCGTGAATTTATATGTATCATTAAACAAATTGAAGAATGATGGATTTTCAACAGTTTTGTTGAAAGGAACTTCGGTGCCTTCAAGTGTTACATTTTTGATTTGCTGTGTCACATTTTTCCCCTCGTTCCAATTAATCTCACAGCCAGTCAGTTTGTACTCAATGTCGTATTCCATCATACCGTAACATTGAACAATATCAAAAATGTTGTCTGGATGGTACTCCTCGAACTTTAAGGTCAGCACATTATTAGTGAACCATTCGTTAGGTGTGAAATGAAATTCCAAAGTATATCCTATATACTCTTCCGATCGATTACATCTGATGTCTGACAAATGTCTGATGATTTTCTCGTCATGTGGTAGTATGAAAGATTGGAATTTGTACGACTTCTCCATGTACATAAGCCAAAAGTCCGGTATTCCTTTCGGTTCTTGTCTACTTGCCTCTTTTGATTCAAGTCCTATTTTCCCCAGTTCATCATATCTGGGAACTTGTACATCATCTTCATCAGAACTACTGTATTCGCCTTTGGTAGGCTCGTGGTTTCCTTGAATTATATCCGTTTGCTTATTAATATATGGCTCGTACACTTTTTGGTATTTCAATTGAAGAAGATGAACTTCAGCATTGAATCTCAATTTAATCTCATGCTCGGCTAAAATTAGTCTTTTTAGAGCCCGCACGCGCTTTTTTACTTCTGGCGACATATTTGTAAGTTTATTTTTCAAAATCGTACAATGAATCCAAGTGCGTTGTTTGTTTCACCACGATCGCAAAAATAAATTTAAACGACTGTTAAAAATTATATTTTTAAAATAAAACAAAATCGCTTTTCAAAAAACTGTCTATACAAAAAAATTGTTAGGTTGCCATCGTCATAAATCACTATAATAATATATCCGTGTATTATTATTTTTATGCATAGATATATATTATTATTTATTAATATATATCTATGTTTTTATGTGAGAAAATAAAATGAAGAACAGCTGATTACGAGAACGGCTGTCTACAAGCAACCTGTGGAAGGGAAAACGCAGGCTATAGTGAAACCCAGTGGCGGCGTGATAGGGTGTTTCATGAGGCAATTGCCTCACGACCAATTAAGTGGTGGTACCCCCCCCCCCCCCGGGTACGGATATTAAAAACCACATATGAAATATGGTCAAGGGGACGGAGTGGCCGAGTGGTCTAAGGTGTCGGTCGCGACGCAGCCGGTGCCAGCTCGATTCCTTGGTCACGGGGCAAGTCATTTAATAAGTGACGCCATCTCCCACCCGGTCATGGCAAATACTTACGGGTGCGGGGTGCCCCAAATAAAAAATTCTGCCAAAACAAACACACACAAATCTACAGTACCCTCCCCTACAGTATCACAGGCTAATGACCTAAGTTGTCGAAGCCTTAACCCTAATAAAAAAAATAAATATGGTCAACTAATGTCTAATACTATTAATTATTATACTAATTGTATAATAATTTTTTATATTTCTGATATTAACACAACAAAGTATATTATCGTTGTAGAATTGTGAATTGTAAAACAATTTTCCTGGTTTTTGTGTGAAATCTATCTAACACTGTTTCCGTTTGTATTTTATTTGATTTAAATCCCTCTCAATATTTAAAATTGACAAGTCACTAAAGCGCTGCTGCAACATACTTGTTCTTAGCCAATTTTTGAAACGTCTCATATACTAGAAAAACTACGTTCACAATTTGCAGAACTTACTGGGATTGTAATTGCAATTTGAAGTAGCTTATACAAGTTAGGAAAAGCTTCTTTATGTATTTTTCCTTTAATGTCATCAAAATTAAAATCTGGTGGCAAACAGTTTTTGAAAACCATCATTTCAGCTTTTAATAAATCAATTGAAACGTTTGTCACATTCTGAAAATTAAACAGTAAAATCAAAAAAATATTAAAGTTATATAGTAACTTAAACTACGCTACTAAAAAAACAAAAATTGAATTGAATATTGAGTTGTATTTAATATTATATAAATTTTACTTTATAGTTATTTATGAATTCTAAGCTTCCTTCGTAGTTCATATTCATAAAGTTATCAATGGAGCAAGCCATAGATAAACTTTCTTCAGAGAATCTATATTCAGTGCCGTAAAAACCGGATGTGCAAAGTGTGCACCGACCACAGGCCTCGGGCCTCATAATATATCGAAGGGCCTCAAATCATCTAAAGACTAATATTAAACTAATATAAAATTATTAAAATATATAAATTATTTATTATTGATTTGGAAACGAAACCAATGGTATTTCATTTTTAATATAGCATGGAGTCGTGATCACTGTTTTTAGATTTTGAGAGGAACGAACAAATGTATTGATTTTACAAGATGTGTATAATTTTTTTCATTTCTGTCGGTCATCAACGATGGGTAGTAAAAATATTCCGAATTTCGACATCAGCATTTTTTCTGTTAGAAAAGTGAATCTAGTTGGTACTTTTTGGAGATCGAAACCGAAATTTTTAGTTTTAGATATTAAAAAGCGTCAATAAAAAAAAAAAAATTGTAATTTTTACCTAAAACCAAATATTTTATTTTTTGGTATAGCTCGAAATCTAATAACCGTACACCATTGAAGTTTTCACCAAATATTTATATTAATATTTTCAATAAATTACATTTTGGAAAATTTTTACTTTTTTCAGTTAGGTATAGCCTTGAGAAATTGTTTTAAAATTATAGATTATTTAAAATTAAACATTTTAGATTCTGAGTGAAACGATGAATGTATTGATTTTACAATGATGTGTGTTTTTTTTAATTTTTTTTAATTTTTAATTTTTTTTGTGTCTGTCATCACGTTTTAGGACAGTAAAAGGGCTTGGATTTTCTTATACTTTGGGGGGATCAAAAGTGAAAATTTCCCAGTAGTTTTCAAAAGCGCCGTGAAAAACAAAAGAAAAATTAAGGAAAAACGTGAATTTTTACGCAAAATCTGTTTTCGAGAAAATCGATTTTGGTTTTTGGTGTAACATTAAAACAACAAATGACCATAGATAAGTGAAAATTTCACTGGTTGTTTATATTTGCATTTTCTATACACGATAACATTTTCAAAATATTTTGATTTATTTTGAACTGTTTAGGGACATTTTCAGTTTCCAATTTTATTAGTTTTTTTTTTTATGAATATCAATAAAAATTTATTTGTTGAGTAAAAATACTTGAAAATAGAAATACAAGGCTCCTACTATATTGTTTCAAATACAGATGAAAAATATTAAAAATCCTTAGTCACAGATTTTTTTTCTAAGCATTTAAAGTTCATAAATTGACAAATAATGTAAAAATCACTAAAATTAGCAAATTATTTTGAGTTAAAAATTCGTAAAAATTTTTCTTTTTAAATCTAAGATTTTAAAATGTAATACAAGATTCCTTATAAGATTATCTACCTTTATCAAAAAAAAAAAATGTCTATAAGAAAGTCAAATTAAATTTTTATGAGCGTTTGAAATTCAAATTTTTACAACATTGGATATTCACTCGATTTCTCATGTAGCGATTTCCTTATTTTGTTATAACTCAAAAACGAATAACTGTACATACATGAAAACTTCACTGAATGTTTATATTAAAATTTCCTATACACTATACAATTTTGAAAATATTTTGACTCTTTTTGAGCTGTTTACGGACATTTTCAGTTTTCAATTTTTTTAGTGTTTTTTTATATAAATATCAAAAAGTGTAAAAATGTAATACAAGGCTTCTGATATATTGTTACAATAGAAATTGAAGATATTAATATCAATAAAGTTTTATCGGTTGGGCCAAATGTGTACAAATTTAATACAAGGCTCCTGATATATTGTCCATTATTTATATTTAGTTTACATAACGTTAAAAATATTATACAATTATTACACAAAAATATTTATTGTTAATATTAGTCGTACACAAGAAAATTCACCGAGCATGATAATACCCATTTCAATAAAAAAAAAAAAATGCTCTGCTATACAGTATAGGTTACAAGTGGGTCACTGTATAATGGATGGTATTAAATTTGAACTCAATGATATAATATCATTGTATAAGAAAAACGATTCTGAGCGGAGACGGTATGTCAGTCTAACTACTTACGTAGAATTTTGTTTTAAATTTTCAATCTTTAGATATAAAAGTTGAACATTTTATACATTTTTAACTAGGTACAAAATAATTATTAAATTTTATCAAAATTCGATCTTTAAATGCTTAGGTATAAAAAAAAATGTGCCTATGTATTTTTAATATTTTTCAACTGCTATTGTAACAATATATCTGGAGCCTTGTGTTAAATGTTTACACTTTTTGGCCCAACAGATAAAACTTGATTGATATTCACAGAAAAAAAAAATAAAAAAGTTAAAATATGAAATTGTCCGTAAACAGCTAAAAACAACTCCAAATATTTTGAAAATTTTATCAAGTATATGAATTGATAAAATAAACATTCAGTGAAATTGTCATGTATCTACAGTTAATCGTTTTTGAATCACAACAAAATAAGAAAACCACTACATGGGAAATCGAGTGAATATCCAATGTTGTAAAAATTTGAATTTCAAACGCATATAAAAATTTAATTTGACTTTCTTATAGACATTTTTTTTTTTTTGATAAAAGTAGATAATTTTGTAAGGAATCCTGTATTAAATTTTAAAATTTTAAATATAAAAATAAAATTTTTTATGAATTCTTAACTCAAAATAATTTGATAATTTTCGTGATTTTTCCATATTCTGTCAAGATTTTAACTTTAAATGCTTATAAAAAAAAAAACTGTGACTAAGGATTTTTAATATTTTTCAAATGTCAATGTACCTAACAATATATAGTAAGAGCTTTGTATTAATTTTTATTCATATTATTCATATTATTATTATTATTAGCACTCTGCTTAATTAATAACCTCAAAACATACCAAAATTGGTATGTAAAATAAGTTTAAATAACTAATAAGCGCCTATGATGTAAAATTCGAAAGATTAATTTTATTTGTAGATAAAAACGATACGGTTATATTCAAGTTGTATCTACTTAATACAGAGGTTCCCAACCTTTTTTGACTCGCGGCACCCTTGGACATTTTCTAAAAATCCGGAGGCACCCTATGTGGTTCATACCCACTTTGCCGAATCCCAATTCGCCGACAACTCAATTTACCGACAAATATACCAGTTTTAAAATATTTTTAAAATATTCCCTTTTCGCCGACAGTCTAGTTTGCCGACGTCTCGGTTCGCCGACAAATTATTAATAAAGTTTTAATTTTCCCGATTCGCCGACAGTTGACAATGATCTTATCGAAAACGGATAAGAGATTCATTTGGATATAACATAGAAATAAAAGGATGCCTTTTTCATTTTGGGCAATCTATATGGCGACAAATACAAAAATATGGAATCATTTCAACACCGATAGGACACGTACAGCTAACCACCTAGAAGGTTGGCATGCAGCTTTAAACCGGAGTATAAGTCGACCAAAGCCGAACATATTTGTGTTGATAACTGAAATAAAAAATCAACAACAAAATTTTGAACTTGATCTATAAGCCCAGAAAAACGGTAATCTAAAACCACTAAATAAAATGAAATTTCGAAAGCTTGAAGAAAGATTAAAAAATGCAAAGGATAGGTAAATATTATAAAATAATTAATTTTTACATGTATAATAGTTATTATATAATTAGTTTTTATTTTTTTCAGATTGAAATCAGAAGAAATCTCTTTAATATAGTATGTCGATATAATAAAATATCATATAATCATACAATAATTTTATAACTTTTTTTATTTATATTTACTTTTTTTTATATATATATAACATATCTACTGACCATATTTTATACATGAATAATATTTATAATTACTTTTATTTTTATATAATATATCTACTGATCATTTATATATGAACAATAATTTATACTTACTTTTATCTACTGACCGTTTATACATGAACAATTTATATTTACTTTTATTTTATATATAATAATTAAATAATGTATCTACTGACTTAATGTATTAATAGTCATTTATACATGATACATTTGTATTTACTTTTATTTTTTAATAAGTCGGCGAATTGGGAGTCGGCAAATTGGGAACATGTAAATAAATAGTCGGCGAACTGAGGTGTCGGCGAATTGAAAGTCGGCAAACTGGGATGTCGGCGAATTGGGATTCGGCAAATTGGGTTTCGGCGACGTGGGAAGACACCCCCTATGCTCTATAGTCTATAGTCTATACTATAGAGTACTTCGGTTCTATTTATTATTGCATAAGTATAATCAAAATTATAAGGTGTAGGTGCATACTATATACATATCTATTACATTTTATAAACAAATTATTACATTGTATTTATTTTTAATGAAATTGTTTTTTCTAAAAAAATATTTCAAATAATTTCGCGGCACCCTGGTTGGGAATCTCTGACTTAATATATTGATTAAAAAACGACAGTTGAATTTTTTTTTTTGTATATTGTGATAATTATGATGAGACAGCAAGACGTGGGGGAGTGTGGAAAATCCATAAAAATAATTTTAACAGATTAAAAAAAAACCGTAAATAATAATATTATGATTACCCCGGCCGCCGTTACTATAATCAAGTCAATAAAAAATAAACAAAAGCAAAAACGTGTACATAGTTAATATTATTAAACGTATAGGTATTCGATTGAACGAAATTTCGGCGATACGAATAATATGACTATTATGAGTCGATTATACCAAGGACTGGTTGATTCTGTTAAATGAACGGTGACATCATAATAATATGATAAAACCGTTAAATTAGTTATTATTTGTTAGGTGGAATTATGTAGTATTAATTATTCTCTTTATTGATATGGCATTAGCATGACGGACGACAGCGAACTAATATATTCTAAAATTATTGCACAATATATAATTTATGGAGTTAAATGTCGAGCGACGAGCAACTCGACTAAAATATTATAACAATACAGCGATAAATCGGTAAACGATAAAACAATTATTATTTGATTTGTGAAGAAAATAATTGTTCTCATCAGATATGTTTAATATAATATTACTTTGTGGTACGATGCGAAATTTGCGAAAATAATAAAACGGTAATAACGATTACTATTCTCGACTGTCCTTTTTTTTTTCGAAATTTAATTGAGCAGTGACCGTTTATCATTTAGTTACAACAAAATACTTTAATCGATGATCGACAATCGAGGGGACGAAACTCTAAGAAGCTTCGAAGTCGATATCATTTATTTTAAGTATGGGGCGAAATCGCGTTACAGATGTCTTCCAAAGTTCCCATCTATATACAAAAGTGCTCTGCAGAGCCTCTTAGCCAAATACGTAGTCCTACTACCTAGTTTATGTAAGGTGTGTATATTGTAATTAATAGTGCGCTTTAGTTTGAATTGCGTCTTACGATTAACACACACACATAATTATTATGGTAAATCGCACTGGGCATTTAAGCATATGTAAACGCCATTACCGATCCTACAAGTTGGGGCGGTTGTCGGCAACGACTGGCGTAATGTGTTAAAACCTGGAGCGGGGACGGGTTACTCAATATATGCTCAAACTCAAATGTGAGGGCGTAAACACGTTTAATCGGTGTAATAAAATATAAATAAGTAACGGGCGCCCAAAATAATCAACTTAAAATTAAGTACAAATACAAGACAGCTGGTGAACAATATTATATTTTTAAACCACCCACTGACACGTGGGGCAAAATAAAAAGGGTCGACCTGAATACGGCTGCTTGCTGGCTCGACGACTTCGTGGCGACGATGATCCCTGGTGCCGACCAATGGAGGTCCCTCGCCGGAACGGCGACGGCGGACAATTCTTCAGATCGTCGCTAACACGACGGTGGATGTCGCTCGTACTTTAAAGCGGGTAGCGTGAATGCCCAAAACGTATGGTAACGAAGTACCTACCTCCACTCGCGGGCTCTACGTAAAAACACGCGCACTGCGTAAGTCGTGAATGAGAGCGGAACTCGAAATTGTCGCGTGGTGTCGAACGTCGGACAGACAAGCGTGTTCACACGCGAACTTTATTATTTTACGCGATGTACAAAAGGGTGCGTATCGCGACCGCGATTACCACGCAACAAAACAAAACGTACTTCACTAGTATAGGTACTAGGTATCGATCGTGGCCGCTGATCACAGAGCTCACGGACACCTCGTGTTCACACGAGGTTTTATGACACACACGGGAACGATAGCACGTTCTGGGGGCCAATTCTTGAAATCATACGACTAATTCTCGCATGTGATAAAACTCATAGATTTTATCGCAGGTGACTAATTTTATTCGCATGCGACTTAAAATTGGTATTCTTGAACTAAATCGATAAGATTTTATCACTTGTCGAATTCGATAAGGTAAATCGAATGAACCACTATGGTAACAACACAAAATCTAGATTTAACCTCAAACAAATTATAGAACTTAAAAATATTAACAATTAATGGTTGCGGCTGTTGTCTAGTATCACACTAAGTCACTAATCCTATCTCATAAGCCCGTCGCCAAAAAATTCAAAGTAGAAAAAATCTAAATAATAAATAAATCATAAATTAGGTACAAACAATAGGTGTTCAATTTTAAAATTATCTAAAATCAGGTAAAAATCACCAAAATCACTTTTAAGTCTAAATGACAATATGTAGGTATTTACCTTAGTGTTTAAATCAATCGCAGACGAACTTGTGTTAGATATTATATGAGGCCTTAATAAATCAATTAAATATCTAACAGCGTCTTTAGTCAGTCTAAAGTTTTTAATAAATAACCGATCAGACAATGTAAACGGGTCAGTAATGTATTCTCTATTTCTCGTCTGTCTTTCATTATGAACATAATTTGCATGTTCCTCAACGTTATTAATGGCAAAGAACATTGCCATTTCTTGAAAATTTGCCATTATTAATTATTATTATTTATTAGTGCAAATTAGGTAATAAAAAGTTGAATACACAAATTTAATATTTTAAGTAAAGTTGTTATAATTTTAAAATTATTAATTAATTAGGTAGGTATTGATATGGCATTTCATAAATTATCATGCGATATAAGCTTGTCACTGACTTTTTACCAGTCGACAAATAGTCGAATGTTTTTCGTTCGACTAAAGTCATACCATAATTCAAGAATACCAATTATTTATTTTCATGCGATAAAAATTTTATTGCATGCGACAAAGTTTATCACGATTTCAAGAATTGGCCCCCAGCCGTTGGAAAAAGACAAGTTCAAGGCTCAAGTTCGCGACGGCCGATAGCCGGCTAGCCGGCCGTTGACGGCGGCGCGGGACTGCGGAAGGGAAACGCTTCGCTCGGAGCTTCGACATGTTCGACTTGGAGCGTCCGTGATTTTGGCGGCGAACCCGTTCCGCGTTCGAACATCCTCCCCGCCGTGAGAATCATCTCACATAAATCCTGAGAACCGGGACTGAACGCTGGTGAATGGTGATGTCATTTGAAGTCGTGCCGATCAGGAGCATACATTAAATCCCCTAGGCCGAGTCAGTGGTTCACATTTTTTTTTTTTAACATACCAGCTATAAATAATATTCTAGCTCATGTTGAGGTAGAATTAACATACAATAAAAAATTCAATGAACATAAGGTTCGTAATTATTCGGAAAATAACATAATAATTAATAAATAATAGGTAACACATAGACTAATAATTGTAAAAAATAATTCAAGGTACATATTGTGCACCCCCCGACCACCGCCAGTCTCTAACACGCATACGGACACATAAATGGCGAGATGGTGGTGCGGTGCGTCAAAAGCCCCAGGCGCGACAGGGAATCCCGGTGGGGGGCACAGTGCTTTTAATGTGCTAAGATAGAACATTAGTCGGTAACTTTACCAACTTGACTACAGCGCGTGTCATTACACCAGCGCGCGTGAGAACTCGAGCTACACGGACGTGACCGTCGGAACCTGGCAACAACTCGGTCACACGGCCGAGGCGCCACAACAACGGTGGACTCTGGCTGTCGATCACGACGACCATATCGTTGAGATTAAGGTTGGGAACCCCCTCGGTCCACTTTGGTCTGCTTTGCAAAGTGGTTAGGTACTCGGATGACCAACGACGCCAAAACGCGCGGTGACATTGATCCATTAATTTCCATCGATCAGAAAGGTTACGGACGGGCTCGGGGCCCGATCTCGGCGGGACTCCAAATCATGTGGATCGGTCGAGGCGGGCGTCAGCGGGCGCGAATTTAACACAGCTTCTATGCGGGTTAACACAGTGGTGAACTCCTCGTACGTAAACACATGGGTTCCTATCACCCGGACTAACAACCTCTTAGTAGACCGAACGGCCGCCTCCCACAGACCCCCGAAGTGAGGTGCGCTCGGGGGGTTAAAGTGCCACGTACACATCGCGCGAAAATTTGCAACGGCGTTCTGGCCCTCGGGACTTTGTATTAATGCGCGCAACTGCTTATCAGCGCCGACAAAATTAGTGCCGGAATACACGTCGGCGGGTAACCCGCGGCGCGCGACGAATCGATCGAAAAAAAACGCGTCAGTGGACAACTCCGTTACCACTTCGAGGTGGACGGCTTTAGTCGTAAAACACACGAAAACGGCAATGTAAATTTTAAACACACGCGATTTGCGCAGCCGCAGCTCTTTCAATTGTAAAGGGCCCGCAATCCGCATAATCGACCCCTACCTGCTCGAACGGTCGACGCGGCTTTACACGCGGACCCGGTAAATCAGCCATAAAGGGATACGATGGTTTCGCATCTAACCTAACACACACAGTACAATTTATTAAAACATTGTGCAGCACAGAACGGAGCGACATCACCCAATACTGGCGTGCAATTAACGCAGTCAAAACCCGTGGACCTGCGTGACCCGATAATAAATGCCATCGGCGGCACAGCAACATCGCGTAATGCGACCGTTTTGCCAATAGAACCGGGTGTTTACAATCATAATTTATTAGTGAGTGCCGTAGACGACCGCCTACGCGAACTACACCCGCAGTGTCAATAAATGGAGCTAATCGTGCTAACGGTTTCGAGGAAATGCGTGACCCCGCGGACAACTCCTGTCGCAGCATGGCAAAGTGTACGCGTTGCGACTCCGCCGCCAACACACGCGCAGCACTTTCCAACTCGTTTTTATGTAGAAAGGCGGGGACGCTCACATCCGAACCTGGCGTTACTACCGACCCCGTCAACCCACTTCGCCGGAGCGCGACATTTCGGTGACAAGCCTCTACAAAACGTCGCATGTACGCGACTACACGCAACATGCGATCAAAACTAGAAAAACGAACAAACCACTCCCTCTCTTCGTTGTCAACGCGCGCGGCACACGACACTACGCGCAATTCAGACAGGTCACACAGAGGTAGCGACGGGCGGGAATCGTCCCATTCCGATGGCTCGCCGTACGCTATCTGTGGACCACGCCAATACAAATCAATAGTCGCGCTAAAGCTGCCGGCATGACGCCTCGCGACGCGCAGTCAGCGGGATTATCGGCCGACACGATGTGTTGCCAATAACAATCCGGCAATAAGGAGCGAATTTGGTGTACTCGATTGGACACATAAACTTTGAATGATTCATGGGGGGCCGTCAACCACGACAGCACGATCGTGGAATCCGACCAAGCCCGTAAACCGACAACATCGAGTTGCGGTGATAATATTTTTTGAATGCGACCTAACCAACGGGCTAACAATACTGCAGCATTCAACTCTAGTCTCGGGACCGTTAATACTTTCGTCGGGGCTAGCTTGGTCTTAGTACCAATTAAAAACACAGACTTATCTACTTCGACATTGATCATCCGCACGTACACGACAGCCGCATACCCGATCTGTGACGCATCGCAAAACCCTAACAAATAACAGGGAGCGCCTTGACGGCCGTTAATATGTCGCGGTACACGGACATCCAATAACGACGGTAACTCAGCGACAAATGCGGCCCAGTCTGCGTGAATATCGTCCGGCAGCGGGTCGTCCCAAGCGACACCGTATCGCCACGTCCGCTGCATGATAGATTTCGCCAGAAACACCACGGGACCGAAAAGACCTAACGGGTCAAAAATGCGAGCAACAAGTGATAAAATACCGCGCTTCGTGAAGACAGGCGACGGTTTGAGATTTAACGCGCAACAAAAATAATCTTGGTCGGGATGCCACGCCAGACCCAACACCTTAGTGCCGTATCCGTCGTCATCACCAAACGGCATCGGCGCGCACGCGCGATCGGCGGCCGGAACAGCTTGCAACACGGCCGACGTGTTCGAGGCCCATTTCTTTAACTCTAAACCTGACTTACTTAAAACAGAGACCAAATCCGACTGAAGTTTCAACGCGTCGGAAATCGTGTCAGCACCGTCACAAATGTCGTCGACATACGTTTGGTACTCGAGCGCGTTACGTACAGAATCTAAACCGTCGCAATCGGTCGACGCGATGGCCTGCAGAACGCGTAAGGCGAGATACGGGGCACAATTCACACCGTACGTCACGGTGTGCAACTCATATTCACGTAATTCATCATGCGGCGACGCGCGCCACAACACATGTTGGAATTTGCGATATTCCGGCAAAACTAAAATCTGACGGTACATCTTACAGATGTCCGTAGTAAACGTATATTTGTGAACGCGAAAACGAGTTAGAACATCCACAATGTCCTGTTGTAATTTTGGGCCTGGCCACAAACACTCATTTAACGACGGTCCGCGAAAACACCGCGCGGACGCGTCGAATACTACACGAATTTTATTAGGATCGACTTCCGGACGGTAAACTGCATGGTGGGAGATTATAATATATCGGCCCGGGGAAGTCGCCACTGACATGTGTCCTAATGCGATATATTCGGACATAAAATTAACATATAACGATTTTAATACGGGATTCGCGGATAGTTTACGCTCGATAGCGTCAAAACGCCGTGTACTGTGTAGCTACCTCGCGAGACCCAACGAACGTTTCTGCCGGCGCGCGAAATGGTAACGGAACCGCTAAGCGACCTGGGGTTCTATTCTCGAGATCAATCGACAAGAAGTCGTGTGCGACTAAACTCGAATGATTATGTCGTAGTCGACTGCAAAACGCTATTCTCCAAGAGCATTCGACTAAAATTAGTCGCATTCGAGATTATGTCGACTAGTAATAATCTTGTCGAGTGAACCACAATGGTATAACCTAAAATTCATTTATTATCAGAAATATTCCCGCCAAAATATGATATATTGATACCACAAATTAAGATATATCTTAATTCGTGATTGATACTGATTGTTACTAATCAAACCTACCTTATTATTGTTATTAATTATTATTTATTACCTTATTTTGGATGCTCAAAGCCGACGTACGTTTTGGTGGTTCCATAAATGGAGTGACTAACTCGATTAAATATGTTGTTAAAACTTTACTCAATCGGTAAGTTTTTATAAAAAGATGATCACTTAATGCTAATAAAGGGTCTATTTTAATGCCAAACGGTTGTCTGACATTTTGAGCTTCTTGCCTCTCTATATTAGCAATAGCAAATATCATAGCTCTTTCATATTAATTCGCCATTATTGTTATATTTAATAAAATATTAACTCAGCAGTTAGAAAATAAAACAACAATAATAAATTAACAAAATGAAAAGGTAAACGACAATCGTAATACAAGTACCTAAACACAATAATACAAGATGACTTATCAATAATCATAGTATTCTGCAGTTGATTTGAGTGAAATATATTAAATCTATGGTGCTCAAAATTAACAAATCATTCGACTAAATTTTGTCGAATGCGATATAGCAGTAGACATAATGTCGGACGGTTTTCGTTCGAGAAAAGTCATACATCATTTCGAGAATACCATGGACGACGAATCGATCGAGTTCTGATTTATGTCGAATGCGACAAAATTCGAGAATAGGGCCCCTGATGTCAAACGCGTAGCTGCGTCGCGGAATATCTGTTCGCAGCACCCCTTCTCGGTTAGCATTATACCTATGGCCAACAAGATTTGCAACTCCCATTCAACCAACAACTAGTATCAAAACTTGCATCTCTTCCATAGTACAGTAAAACCTGTGTAATATGGAAACAGTTGGGACCGGATATTTTTTCCATTTTAGACAGGTTTCCATTTAATGCAGGTTGTAAAAAAAAAAAAATTCACGATGGGTAGATCTTTATTAAATATACATAATTTATAATTTATATATTTTTATATATTTTACATATTATTATTATATTATATTTTACTCCAAAATTCATCCAATGTTTTTTGTTTTGTTATTTGACTTGCCATTTTCTTTTCTACTAAATTTTTCAAGTTGAGAATTGATTCAAGAAGTTCATTTTCATTATTTTGATCCAATGCGAACATTTCTAATCGTTTTATTTCATGGAGGGCGTTCTTATACGTTTTAATATCATTGCCGTGCAATGGTACATTATCTGTTTCGTCTTCGGAACTGGATTGTTCAACGTCTATTGAAGTGCAAGGTTTCACTGTAGTATCAGCAATAATATCAGTATCATTAGTACATAAATGCTTATCGATGTTAACATATTCATCACTATCTACTTTTTCATTTATTGTAGAACATAGCAATTTAAAATCGTTATCGTTATCGTTAATGGCATCTGTTGGCTGGTCCAAAACTAAATTAAACCCGGCTTTTATGAAACATTTTTTGACTGTATCTGGTTTTATTAAGTTTACAGATTTATTCAACCAATAAATTGCATCTAGTACATTAATTTTATTTGACAATTCATTAACACTTTTTATGCTATCCATACTTGCTAATAACGATTGTAAAACCATTTTACGATAATTTACTTTAATCGAATAAATAATTCCTTGGTCCATTGGTTGGGTAAGTGATGTCGTGTTAGCTGGAAGCCACGCTAAATGAACATTTGATAAATTTAAATGCGGATGACATGTTGCATTATCAAGAAATAAAATAACTCTTCGATTTTGTTTTTTTAATTTATTGTTGAATGTATGCAACCAATCTTCCATTATGCTTCCAGTCATCCATGCTTTATTATTAGCTCGCCAAATTATGGGAAATTTTGTCGGATCTACATTTTTGAAGCATCTGGGTTTTTGTGCTTTGCCTATAACTAGAGGTTTTTCAAATTCTCCTTCCATGTTAGCACATAAAAATACCGTTAAACGTTCTTTGGAAAGCTTACCACCTTTACACTCTTCACTTTTCACTGTTCACTCTTCACTTCTCATCACCATTATAAATATTTTTAGGTTCATATCCTTCAATAATTAATTTTACTTTCACCTTCCATTCATCAACATTTTTAACATCGACACTATTTGACTCACCGCAAATTTGATGCCAAACAATATTATGTCGATTTTTAAAACTTTCCAACCAGCCATTCGATGCTTTAAATTCGGTGACTGACATTTGTTCAGCAATTTGGCGTGCTTTAGTCTGTATAATTGGTCCAGAAATTGGTATATTTTTTGCTCTAGCACTTACAAACCACTCCCAAGTCAAATTATTAATTTCTTCATTAGCGTTGGATTTTGGTTTTCTTTTCATTCGCCCATTTCCTAAAATTAAAAAATATACGTACATATAGAATTTTGAATTTTACATTTTTATAGTTAAGCTTATTGCATACCATTCATCCATTGTTCTTTTATTTCATTTTTTTGCTTTAATATATTATACACTTGACTTTTTCCACATTTGAAAAGTTCACAAATTTGTTTTACTGTTAATTTATCCTTTTCACTTGACTCAATTAGTTTAATTTTTTCATTTAGTGTTAAACATTTATTTTTGGACGTCATATTGAATATAGGTCTATACGCAGTCTACGTCAGAACACTACTACGACACTTATCGATAAAATAAACTTATTGCAACGAAATAATCTATATAATTGATATAGATTATATTCATTGACTGATAATTTTAAAATAGTACATGTACATATTTCCATGATACACAGGTTCATGACAAAATATTGTTTCCATTTCCACGTTAAACAGGTTCCATCTTATTCAGGGAACGATGTATTTAAAATTACATTAGGATCGCCGGGACCGTAACATTTTTCCATAAAAGTCAGGTTTCCACGTTATTCAGGTTCCATATTACACAGGTTTTACTGTATTACGTAGGTACTAACAAGCCGCATTCCACAGATCAGTATATTAATAGTATTAGTACCTACTGGCTACATATATTTATATATTTATGTTTTAACTGTTCGTTATAGTCCATTTTGTTATCATAATAATAATTAATTAATATCATCTTTGATAGACCTGTACTGATATTAGACAATATTGTTATGTACCTATACCATGACTACTATTTTCGGTAGGTACCTATATATCAAGCACTTTTTGACAAGTGTATCGGTTTCAAATATTTTTTCTTTGGTTATTATCCAGTTTTATTCCAGGTTTGGATCGAACATCGACTTTGTCGTCGTCGTCGTTGTCGTATAGACTTTTTACCGTCGATTCGGTTTTCGTTTCGATATTTCGATCGAAACGATAATATAGAAACACGTAGGCAACGCACAAAAACATCGCGAACAAACATAGGTATCGGAAGGATCGTCGAATGCATAGTGGAATATCGCGCGAATTGAATAAAAAAAAAGTCTAAATGTTAAATATTAAAAATCATACGACGTAGGTACATTCGACAAAGTCGAACATTGGATATTACAATATTGTGTATTATACAATATTATACTATTTTATTTATTATTATTTTTTTTTGTATAATTCACAGTGACGAGATCGAGAACGCGTTGTGTTTTGTTTTTCTACGATAATAGATATCACGTAAAAATAAATAGAAAGCCATTATTTTCATCGACATATTATCGTCGTGACACACACACACACACACATGTGATATCGATAATACACGCACACGCACACACACTCTGCCATGACGTCGAAAATTGAAGAAACGTTCACTAGAGCGGCGTTATATAAAATCTGTTCAAATCTGTTCGAGTCTATAGACGCTTCTATGCATGCCATTTCGTCGTTTTCCACACGAACCTGTATGTTATCGGGATTCACTTACGTCCGACACACCGGATATTGCTTTACGATCACGTCGATTGCGAATTCCGTCACTAGTTTTGCAAATAATTTTGGTATGTGTCGTAACCGCAAAGCTTGATGCATATTGATCGATTCTCGGAGATCCGTCAACGACGTATTTTTCAAATTTATATGTCGCAATAGACTTTAGAGTTTGAACAAATTTCGTATAACGCCGCTCTAGTGAACGTTTCTTCAATTTGGGACGTCATTGCAGAGTGGTACGTACGTATGTGTGTCACGCACGATATGTCGATGAAATAATAGCTTTATATTTATTTTTAAATGATATCTGTTATAGTAGAAAAATAAAACATAACGCGTTTTCGATCTCGTGACGATGAATTATACGAACAAAAAAAAAAATTATAATAATAATAAATAAAATAGTACAATATTGTATATTATTTATCACAATACTGTAATATTCAACGTTCGATTTTGTTTAATGTACCACACACGTCGTATAATTTTTTTTTTAAATTTTGACGTTTATACTTATTATTCATTCAATTTATGATATTCCACTACTATGCATTCGATACTTCCGATATGTTTGTTTGAGATGTTTTTGTGTGTCGCCTGTGTGTTTCTAATTATCGCTTCGATCGAAATATCGAAACGAAAACCGAATGGACGGCAAAAAGTCTATACGACAACGATGAAACCGCTGATCTCATCAACGCTTCGGGTATAAACAATATACCCGCGTTGGAAATACAGTCAACGAATAAATTGCTGGCGACGGCTCACGATTGTCATCGAGGACCCGTGTCGGTCGTCGACGACAGTTCGGATATCGATTGCGCGCGTATTTGCGCGAACATCAGCGCTCACGCATTTCGCGTGTCGGAAAACGACGTGGTGTTCAACGAAAATCGCAAACTCGATACAAACTCGTATTGTAAATTTGGTGAAAAAAAACATTGCAACACCAGGACCACCGCGATCATGATGACCAGGGCTCGTAAGTTCATGCATCTGCATGTTTTTTTTTGCTACACAGGAAAACATGCTAACTGTGATACAAATCCGTTACATAACAATAGTAATAATAATATGAAGTTTGATAGTGCATGTTTTTGCATGTTTTGGGTGTAAAGTCATATTTGGCATATAGTTGATTTTTTACAGTCATTAGTGCATATTATTTCATAAAAATATTTTTTAGACAAATATTTGAAAAGTTTTTTCCGATTTTTGATATCTTGTTCCAATCGTCCAATATCGCATGGTAAATTATGACGGTTTTTTAAATTTTTTATTGATTAATTATTTAGCTAATTAATAAAAATATCGAAAATCGGGCTTCTTACTATTGTAAAAAAAGTTCTACTCTACAATTTTTATAATAGGTATTTTTACTGTAAACTACCTACTTCAATAAGCCGTATTACTTGAATTACGAAACCATGGTTTTATGCCATATTTTGTCAACTAGTGCGCCCTCTTAAGTTGGAAAACATAAAAAATACACTTATAAAATATATATTACTAAATTATCTCAAAATGAAAAACCTAATATTTAATTCCAAATGTTTTCATTGTTGGTGCTGAATAAGGGTGTACACAAATTAGACAAAAATGACTACCTAAGTCCTAATTAAAATTTATAAAGATGTCAAAGCTAGGTATTTGAACTTCACAAGTATTAATTTTATTTTTTATTTTATTAATTTTGACTGTTAAATATATAAAAATAAAAAGGAATAAAATACTTTTAAAATGTATGGATTTATTCTTATTATTTTAAAATTTGGTCATGTTTTTTTTACATAATGCATATTTTGAGTTCATAATTTAAAAATGTGAAGGCATATAAATGCATATTTTCGAACTTTTAAGTGCATATTTTAATGCATATTTTGACAATTTTTAGTGCATGAATGCATGCTTATTTATGCATTTTTTAATGCATGAAGTTACGAGCCCTGATGATGACGGTCAATTTGGCGATTTTTCGCGCGAAGTTTCCAAAGTTGTTCGGCGGTCCGACCGGAAATCTCGTCGTCGCTTGTAACGATACTCGCATCAATAATCCGTTAAATGTTTTATGGGACTATCGATACGATAAAGTCGTCGACCCGTTTACTGTGACGTTAAACGACAGCGATGAACTCTTGGCCGACTGGAATTTCCGATTTCGGTGCAACTTCTGTGGCAGAGACAATATGTGCAACAAATATATCGAACATCCGTATACAGTCGATTCAGACCGTTGAAAAATTATTGTGCGCGTTTGGTCTTTGGAGCCCATGATCACGTGAAAACGATTTTTTCGAAAGACGACAACGGTTTCAGCTGCGACTGCGGCGAACACCGTGCGACGCGTGTAAAACATCTTACAGAAAACGACAAGACGAGCCAATGTTCGGATAAAGTGTTCAAATTAAACAAATTGGACAGACATAGAATCGAATTGACTATACCTTATAAATGTTTTACGGTCAATTCGCCGATTACGGACGTCGGCAAATACATGCCGTGCCCACCAGCGCAATTCACGTCATTTGGTAGCCAAATGCATAGCGTGAAAAAAGTGTATTCCGCTAATGAGAATATTCCCATTGAACATCCTAAATACACTGATTTTATCAATATTGACGACAACATGTTAGAATTTTTAGAAGATGTTCAGATATCTACTTGATAATAACATCATAATAAATTATGATATTGGAATATTTTATCGTAATAATGTTTACTCGTTTGTAAAAAATCAATGTAGAAACAATAAAAAGTTCGAACGTGTAGCTCTCTTTTAATATAGGTAATATATTATAATAAATAATGATATGTATATTAAAATATTATATTGAAATCATTAATAGCGCTTTCAATCATTACACGACCGTCAGTCACAACGATGGCGTTTCGCGGACCGTTTATCACTGAACTCTGTGATTGTGAATCTTTACGAGATGAGGACAAAGTCGATGTTCAATCAAAACGATTGCGATGCTTTAAGAAATCAGTTAAAGCGTTTTACAAAAACTGTTCGTGCTATACAAAAACTTTTTTCAACATCGTATTCGGAATACATCGAGTTCAAGACGTTCAACTGCGTTTATTGATAATCGAATCGATTCATTACGACGACGATGACGACGACGACCAAACGAAAAAATCCACTTCGTCTTTTACATTGTGTCTGGCCGAAGCGTGTATCGTGAAAAATTGTTTGAAATCATACGGCACAACTCATTCTTTATATCACGCCGAGTGTATGAGTGTGAACGTCAAACAGTATTTACGTCATCGTAATTATTTTTTCTCTTTGTAAAAATAATATCTTTTTTTTCATTATACAGGGTGGGGCAGTGAAAAGTGCGATTTTCGTATCTAAATCTGTTTCAGTCATCTGATTTTCACTGCACCACTCTGTACATACGATATAATAATATATAATATACAATTTTAATTTTTTTTTTTTTCAATTATTAACGATACACATCAGTGTCGTGCGTACGATTATTTCTCTAGTAATCTAATATTATAAGTTCAATATAATTATTGTAATAAAATAGTAATTTACAATAATATTATATAAGTTATATAATAGAAATTTTTTACGAAATAACCAGAGCGATACCTTGTGTTGTGTTGCTTGTCATTATATTCGTTTATCGAATACGTGACAGAAATGGGAAATTACCAAGATTCGAATGTTCGACAAGAATACAATTTAAATGCGATGAAATTACACGAACGGTACAAAAATGCGAAAATCAAATGCATATTTGACGCACAGAGTGGTAAATTAATTAAAATGGATCAGAGAAAATTGGATTCGATTTTAACAGACCCGGATTTTTATTATCACGGTACAAGTGAGTGTGCTGCATTTTCTATCGTATGCGACGAACTTCGACCGCCAAAAGAAGACGGGCATAGACGACACAACTTGGGCAACGGTTTGTTCGTTTCCGATAATATCAATCATTCATTCGGTTACGGTTCGTGCGTTTTTATCTGCTACGTACGATTTAAAAACACGCTGGAAATTAATTTCGAAACGGATCTTGATAAAATGTTCAGTATGATCGATACGGTATTCGATAAATACGAAACGGTGAAATTCATCTGTCGTTACGGCCGGCATTACATGCCGAATAAAAATTCAGACGGCGAAGACATTCGAGTACATCATACATCGTTTATTGATATGTTCACACCAAATTTCACCGAATACCGAATTAAAACGGTTTCGAGTATCGTACCAAAGTATTTGTTTAAATTCGATAACGTCGTCGGCATACGTGACGAAAACCAAATAATAGACGCAGTCGAAAACGAATCGTTTATATACCAAACGTTTTGCATTTATGATAATTCCGAGTATATGAAGTATTACGACGGTCTCGAAGACGAACAGAAAAAATTTCAAGAACTCAATCTCGCGATTAAATCAAATAGCTATTTCTTTGTCCCGTTGTTTTTTTGCGAGGCGCTCGATTTCCTACGGTCTTCGTACCATACGGACGTTTATACTTTACAAGAAAATTTCATATCGAAAAAAGTAAACGATTACACCGACACTCAATCGTTGTTAAATTATTTCAAAATGGGTTTAATGTTCCATAGTGCTATGTCGAATCTCAAAAATAAATATCTAGCAGCGTGTCATTTAAAAGTTGACGGTACAAATGAAGAAATAACTCCAGCTCGGATAAACCGGCTATTATTATAGAAGAAACGTTTCGAAAATAATAATTTAATTATAGGATAATTTCGTTTCGATATACAATCGTATTATTAGATTATATTATTATAATATAAAACAACGTGTGTAATATATAATTCATATTTTTACTCGTTTTATATATTCTTATTTATATATATATAATATATTAAATAGTAACACGTAATTCGTATAATCGTTTTTAATCATTGGCAATATGATATTTAAATAATAATAATAATAATAAACGATATCAGCATTGGCCACCGGCGAAGACGTTTCATTCGAATGAATATATCAAAGACCACGGGAATTTTATGTATCTTTTCATGTTGGACGGTTTAATGCAAATCCCTCGTTTCGAAAAAATCGAAAAACCTTAGTACCGTGATACATTTTATTTTTTATTTTTAATAATTTAAAAAAAAAACAGCTAAAATAGTGATTCTATCGTTTTCATTTCTCGTGGACTATGATCGTTTATTATTATTATTATTATTATTTAAATATCATATTGCCAATGATTAAAAACGATTATACGAATTACGTGTTACTATTTAATATAAATAGGAATATATAAAACGAGTAAAATATGAATTATATATTACACACGTTGTTTTATATTATAATAATATAATCTAATAATACGATTGTATATCGAAACGAAACATAGTCCACGAGAAATGAAAACGATAGAATCACTATTTTAGCTGTTTTTTTTTTAAATTATTAAAAAAAAAAAAATAAAATGTATCACGGTACTAAGGTTTTTCGATTTTTTCGAAACGAGGGATTTGCATTAAACCGTCCAACATGAAAAGATACATAAAATTCCCGTGGTCTTTGATATATTCATTCAAATGAAACGTCTTCGCCGATGGCCAATGCTGATATTCTAAATAAACCTAGTCCCATGCGTTGTACTTTAGTTTATCGGTTATTTTATAATTCCGAAAAGCTGACGGCAACGTAAATCCGTACACTTTCTGATTTTCCTCACTGACTCGTTTTCCGATTCGATTTCGCCGACCGACGTTAAACATTCTACTAAATCGTCGTAATCGTTTACATGTAGATTCTGAATTATTTTATGAGATCCGAATTCGTTGACTCCTACATACAACCACGGTATATTTATACAAACATCGTTTGGCTTTCGATAATCGAGTCTTACGAATTCTTCGTCTTTTTTTCGTGTCATTCGATTCACCGTATTTTATATTTTGAATTAATAGTTTTTTATATTGATCCATTGCCGAAGCGATCGTTTCATCATCCGGCGGTAAGGATTGTTGTTTATTGGCACGGTCGTCATTGTTCATGACGTTCGTGTCGTCGTATTCGAGTATTCAACGAGATCGACGAAATATTATATTGGACGAATGCGGATAACGTTTATATTCTCGAGCAGTCGAGCAAGCGGATAAAGCCATAAAGGTATATGTTGTCGAAAAAAATCATCAATTCTACTGCACGTATTCATTTTCTAAAAATATAAAATGTCACTGCCGCTACGATTATGTTAATCGTCTATAGGCGAAACGTCTTATTACATATTATTATCAATACATATTCATTTTCGAAAAATATATAATGTCACGGCCGCTACGATTATGTTAATCGTCGATAGACTTAACGTCTTATTACATATTATTATCAATATAATATATTCATTTTCGAGAAATATAAAATGTCACGGCCACTACGATCAAGAACAAAAACGATACGATTATTTTAATCAATAGACTAAACGTCTTATTTCATATTTCGGGGTCCGCGATCTACCGCAGGCAAATTGCCTACCTGATAATATACTGCTGCGAATCACAATTTTTATTCCTGGCAACAGAAAATTTCAGATAAATCTAGAATATCATACACCTGAACAAAGTTTGAGTCATACACAATTTGTACATTTAACGGGTAACGAAGTGCACGGGATCAGCTAGTATAATATAAAATAATCGAAATGAGCAACAGCGGCAGCAACAACAACAACGACAACACGAAATCGAAAAACACAAAAACGGACAACGACGAATACATCTATACAAAGTAAGTCCGTAATCAGTTAACGTGCGAAACTCTAGAAAAGATGGAATCGCAATATTATTAAGGGGATTCGATCCGGTGATTTAATAAGGGGTCGTGTATAGGCAATTTGATGTATTATAGTCGTTTCGCAGTGTGTTTGTGTGCGAAGTAAATGATCATTAGTGTGCGTAGATACGTTCGGAATCAGTGGTTCGCACCCGCATGCACATGTCACATAACAAAATATTTGTTCCAACGAGAAACTAATTTCAATCAATTGAGACCTAAAAGCCTAACAAAAATACGATAACTTAAAATGATCGGATTTTAGTTCTGTAAACATATTTGAATTCATCGTTCTTTTTTCTAGGTTATTGTGGGAGTCGATTTTTGAATAACTGTTTAACTTTTTAAAGAAAGACACAAATAATTTTCAAAAATTTGAGAAATCGAAATATGATTTGACGTGAATTCTAAAAAAAATATCGAAAATTGATTCCCACAATAACCTAGGAAAATTGTCAATGAACTCGAATCTTTTTACAGAATTGAAATCTGATAATTCTAAGTAGGCGTATTTTTGTCAGGCTTTTAGGTCTAAATCATGAAATAAATACGCTGAATCGAATCCCCTTAATGTGTAAAAAAAACGTTTTGTGCTACGTTCTGGAATGGTTTGCCGCAAAAAATTTTATAGTCGGCGTTGGCGTATTGCATAGTCACCGAGAACGAACGGTTCAAATAAACAATACGTTTTTTTTTTGTTTTCAATTAAACATACGTCCCGGAGTTTTCGAATAAGCGGTGATGTGAACAAATTACGCGCCGTTTGGTCGTTACACGGTTATTCGGAAATTTGTATTTATAGTTCGTGTGTTTACGATGCCAATAATTGTCTATTTACGGACACGCTCATGGGAGGTAATCCGAAAAGCGATCGTAACGTTCTTTGTAAGATATACACGCAGACGTGCAAAGAAGCGATAACATTACATGCGATTTTTAAAAAATCATCGAAGTCCGGATTTTTATAAATTCGCGGCAGTGACGCATTATTGGGACGCGAACAGACAAATAGTGTTCGAAACAATTTGTATTCGAAAATCCGTGAACGATTACCGAGTGCCGGACGTCACCAGACGGTGGTTAGATGCCAAATTACGAGTGTACAATTATCCGGTACCGGAAATACCGATTATTGTTTTTGACATCGAAACCGTGTCGGCGGACGCGTATCGCGTTCCGACAGGTGAACATCCAGACGACGTATTGTTTTCCGTTTCCGTACATCATCTGATCGAAAAATGTTTGTACACTCTGGTGTATTTACCGTTGACCGACGATTGTCGGAAAACATCGACCGACGACGACGACGATGCCGCAGCTGCTTTAGCACAAGTGCGGTTTACAAGTTGTTCAGACAATAATTATTATAATACCGAAGAATATAATAATGACTAATCGTTTTCAAAAAGATCACGTAAACGTTTATCACAATTGGACGTGTACGATACGTACGAAGGACAAAAAAATACAATCGAAGTGTTTACGTTGCCAAATAAAATTAATCGCGCGAACACTGCAGTTACTCGATCGTACACAAACGCATACGCAACAACTGAAAAGGAAAATTAATGTCTGCGAATCGTTCAATGTTGACGACGCTAAAAGAAATCCGTCTGATGTTCCTATGGAACAGCATACCTACCTCCTATTGTATATATACGACGCGAGGTGCAAACGACTACTTATTACACGACTTCAATAGAATTTAAACGGGCGGGCATTATATATCCTCTCGTAAACAAAATGTCTACTGTACTGGCGTTCGCAGCAGAGTTTCTTGAAAGTTAGTTCCTATAATAACATTTCATCGCGCATCTGTCGACAGGTCGTGTTTTCGTTGTTCGAATACGTAAGCGGCGAGGAGAGTTGAAGACTTCAGGGGGGAGGGGGGAGGGACAATATGTTTTAGCGAACTATTTTCATTATTAAAATACACTTGTTAAAGGAAAGTGGCGGAAAAAACGACCTCTCCCTCGTGACGAGGGTAAAATTACGCGGAGAATCCGTTGGGAAAGGGGGGGGGGTGAATAAGAAAAAAAGCAAAACGACGACGACGACGACGACGACGACCAGCTCATAAGTACTGTGTCGTGTAAAGAGCAAAAAGGGTCCAACTTTGCCAAAAACCCGTTCGGCAAAAAGGGGCGGCGGCGAACGACGTCCGTTCGAGAGACCAGGGGCGTCTGAATAATAGTGACTGCTTTGCATATTATTATATACAACAGTCTATATATAATACAGTATAGTTGTTTTACGACGTCTTCTGCCGGCGCGAGATAATAAATTCCGTAATCCTTACTACCAGATGTTCGAGGCTTTAAGACATTATATATATTATAGTCCGTCGATACGGAACATTAAATTTACGTGTTTTTTTTTTTTTACCTCACAAAACATATTATTGTGTGTATAGTATATTCCGATTGTTTTAAGCGTTCGCCGTTTTTTCTTTATTTCCACTCCTTTGGTCCTCACTCCTCGCACTATTAATGCTCCTCGTTCCAGTATAGAAGGTACCTGCGAGTGAAGTATATATTATAGTATTGTAGTGCTCCGCGAAATCCTTTGCAAACAATGCGTGCCATTGTAATGAAACGATTTTCCGGCGGGGAGCAGCAGGTTGCAGCGGGTCCACTGTATGCTGCACGAGCGGAATCGTCGAATCTCGGCGGATTCGAATTTTCCTCTTTCACTTGGAGAGTCGGAGCAATTATAAACTTGAACTTTTAGCGAACGTGAAATAAATGTATTATTACATATATACGCACTTGAATAAGGAGAACGTCTAAAGATTATAATGTCATATAACAATATTTGCCGTCGGGTGAAAAGCCCTTGCTATTTCTTCCGCAAAGTTTGACTCCACGCCGCCCGAAAAACACTATACATATTATACTTAAGTCGTGCCACACAATCAACGTCCTTATACATTTTCCGTCGTCCAATGATTGTTGTATTTAACACATTTTCGTCGTTTAATAGTATATATAGTAATATAATACGTCTTGCATTGTTGCAAAAATATAACATATTATTATTATGTTATGTGAGTTGTTACTTATAAAAGTAAAATCGTATTTTTTCAAACTTTAATCGAACATAAAAATTGTGTATACCTATTTTATAATTTATATCGAAGTTTTTTTAAAGTAATTTTTAATACGTATTGTTGTTATGATTTTGTATCAGGTATATATTGTGTTATAACTTATAATATAATTAATTAGTAATTAGTAATTACTATGTTACTGTATGTATAAAGTCATGACAATTAAAAGAACATTGGATAAATTTCACCTAAATTCAATAGTCAATAGTAAAAACTAAAAAGCCTACTTATTAAAAAAATTCTACAAATAAATGCAAATGTATTAAATATTATATAGAAGTTATTATCATCCTCGTGAATGATAATACAAATGTCTTGGTATAAAGTTATTCTTTATTCAGTTCTAACTTATACTATAGTTTAAAGTACCTACCAATCAGATTCATTTTCTATCAGAAAAGATGTTGTTGAAGAATATTCAACCATTTTTACTGTCCTAAAAGGTAATGATAAAAGATCGTAATTTAAAAATATTATCCTAGGTCGATAATTGAAATTTTTATATTATTATATTTTATACACACAGTAAAATTTTTTTTGTAAATGCCTACTCATGTCTCTAACAGTAAAATTAATTACTTTAATCATAATAATATATAATAAAATAGACTTAGTAACATCCGATGGACTGAATTATTTTTCCTATACAATGATTTTATATAATTGAATTCATATTTAACACAACCGTTAGAGTGACTTCTCTAGACATCTTATGTACAGCAGAGCATTATTCACTTGCCTGCTTTTTTTATTTTTTTTTTCCTCGCCCTTAAGAAAACAAAAGGGAATATATTGCTTTTTACCTCCTCATCCCCAAAGTATCAACTAAATTTACTTTCATACCAAAAATTCTTACAAAAAAAAAACACCACATCGACAAAACCTGTATAAAGTTACAAATACCCGTCATTAAAGCATTTCTTAAAAATATATTCCTAAATTTAATAAATTGAGTCTGATGAATATTTTCCCGAAAATGACGTCTCACCTTTTCGACATACTATTTGCGCTGTTATGAAAATACTCAAAGTTTTAAATAAATAAAATGGCTTATACTTATTACTGTATCTTTGTTTTTTTTTTTTTATAGCTAATTCTTTAGACATATTTTTTACCTTATAATTTAGTATTTACTATTGACGGTATGTCAACACACAACGTATAGGTAGAGAACTAACAGTTAATATCTAGTAATTATGTATATATTATAGTTAATTGATAAATGATAATACAATAATATAATAAATTATATTATAGTACAAAGCTCTTACAGAAATTTAAAAATCATAAATACAAAGGTACTAAATTTTTTTTCACTAAATTTTGGACGTATGCACAAAACACTAATACTTACCTCATTTTAGTAAACTTTAAGATTTTCAATGTAATGTTTATGAAGTAATGTTTGTTATAAATAGAAAATGTATTACTTAAATAAATAATTAATTATTAATATACCTACTTTAAAATCAGATTTTACATAGATCTCATTGATCTCAATGTTGATTGAATTATGTTTAAGGATTATTATAATTTATAATTTTAGAAAAAAAATCCATATTTAATATTAAAGGGCCTACAATAATAAAATGATTATGTTCTATATTTGACATAAAAACTGGACATTTTGGATATCAATGTCCAACTACCATGTCATAAAACCATTCGTTAATATGAAAAGTGAAATAACACCGCGTACTCATTGTAAAATTGTAATTTTACATGAGTTTATTGTACATGTAGGGTTACATGCACAAATAAAAGACAATTATTATTAATTATATTTACGAAATTCACAACTAATAAACCAATTTATTTTGACCGATATTTTATTAGCCATAAAACGAATACGTTACTTTATTATTATTTATTCCTCACGAAATATTTAACAGAGATTTCATTTTTCTCTCAAGTTAATATTTTTTTCGACCGTCGAAAAATATGACAAAATCCAATAGTAAATTGAATTAAAAGTTATCTCTTTGGTTCATTGCAATAACCGACAAAAGGCAAATCTAAAAAATAACACTTACAAATTTATTATAATTATATTTTAAACTTTTTTTTATAATAAATTACATTTTTAACCCAACTCAAAATATGTTTACCCGTAATATCGATGTATAAAATAATGTGTAGGTCCATTAATTTCAATCGAATTGAAACAAATAGTATTATATGTACTCATAATGTTATCATAACATTTCAAATAAATTACTTTTTTTCTTCGTTCAGACTGATATGTCATTTAAATGTCAGACAATGGCTATCAATGGTCTTCTGTATTGTATTTTCAATTGCTCACACCTACACGGCTACACGTTAACAATAGGTACGTATTTTTATTTCCCCTCTCGTAAAACAAATAAACAGAAATAACCGAATGTTTGTCGTGGACGCTTGTTGTAAGAACACGCGTGGTTGTTTGCTCTACTTGAAAAACAAATATTTCTTTGGCGATTGTGACACTAAAACAACACGAGCAACTTGTCACCTATTTTTTAAACTCGGTAAAAAATAAATACGGTTTTCACAAGGCGATACAAAGGCGATATTTAACAAAGCTGGCGAACACAATGTCAATATTTATGGTACTGGGTAGGTATATATGTTTTGGTGAACACACTGCGTATAAACGTATAACAAAATATACGGTCACTCATATATTTTGACGTTTCGCCATTGTGCAGGTCTCCATTAATTATGAATCGATAACTTTACAACTAAATATTAAAAATAAACTTTTGGAAAACCTGATTACGATAAAGTAGTCATAAAATAAGGTAAATATTTAAAATAAAGCCCAAAATGAATAATATTTTCCGCGTTTACGTTTTGAACGTCAATCATACACAATATCAGTATAATAATTGTGAATTCATCGAATACGGCTGCAATAGTTGGTAAAGTTAGCTATAGTGAATTTAAAACGTTACAAAGTAACTAATATTATATACTTAGGTTGAAATGTTTGGTTTTAATAGTTTTGTAAACATTGTTATCGATGTTTTGTTTATATTTGGTATGATTTTTTGACAATAATTGAACACGTATAGGTAAATAATATAAATACTCTAGAAGATTAATTGATTTACATTTTTTATAATATGAAACAATCAATGGAATTGACATCTTCCCAAAGGTATACAAATAATAGTAGGCACACTATATTCAATACAATGTAAAGTATTGTTTGGACGAAAATAAATTTAAAACGTCAGTTATAACTGAAATATGTCGTATTCAGACAAATCTGTGACCACATTAAAATAACTCTGACATTTTT